AAATTTCGCACCTTGATGTGAAATGTTTTTCGGCCAATAGAAAACTAGGAAACATTTAAAAACAAAATTCAAATAATCTTCAATTCTCCGAAACAAATTCTTTTACGTATCTTTTCGCGAGCCGACGCGAAGTTTGTTCATCGCCCAATGAAAAGGTCCGAATCATATCCGGGAGGAAATTCCCAAATAACCCTTTCAAGCCCCACAAACAAAATAAAAGACAGGCAAGTTCGCCTGTCACCAGAGAGGAGACGAGCGTATTAACAATTCCCTTGACAAACGTCAAGCGATCGTTATTATTATCTCTACCTTTCTCCTTCACCTCTTTTATACTTGATAAACGAACGGAACACTTTAAAACTGAACGATTACTTCAAAGACATTCCTACCCTACGATAACGTTCATATATACATACCTACATACATACAAGCCTCCACACGTACGTTCCTGCCTACGTACTTATAAATTCATTCTTGCAATGTTTACTACGAACATTTTGACGACTTTGTATCAACCAAAATACATTAATTTTATTTGTAAAGAACTTAATTAATTTGTATGTATATAAATTTGTTGTTTCACTTTACAATTTGAAAATCAATCTAATCTGTTTAAACACTCATACACTTCACTATAACTGATAACCCATCGTAACACTTCTATCTTGGTCAGCCTATGAACTTCCCAGCCGACCCTCGTATATAGGCCGACGACACACTTCAAACTTTTACTGCGAGTAATGTCAAAGATGACATATGTTGGAAATGTGTGGTCGAAAAAAGAAAAGATTATGATACTACCTGGAATAATTCATCGAATAATTACAGTAAGCCATCTTCAAAATTCAAACTAAAAAGAATGAAACACAGAAATATGTTCAGAACAACAATGTTAAGGTGATTAATTTGAAAAGTAAATTGGATAGATTGAGAGTTAATCATCTAAATCATGTGTATAAAGTTTCAGGCAATTCAAATATGCCCGGAAAGCGTACCAGTCGAAAATAATGTGCTTATCTAAGCAACGAATGGGATGTATTTCCCCTAAGATAATTATTATATATCTCTATGGTGTTTGCATATATTTATATAATTTTTTTTTCTTTGGTTTTTTCTCAGATTTGGCGCTCCGTTTGGCAGATGGCGGGAAAAACTATGGCCGCCTTGAAGTCAAATATGATAATGTATGGGGTACGATTTGCAACACTAGCTGGATTTATGTAAACGCCATGGTGGCCTGCAAACAACTCGGCTTCATCGATGGCGTACCATACGACACCGAACTGTTAAGCAGCCCGAGTCCTGCCAATGCCCCAATTTACATGGACGGGGTTTGGTGTGGACCCGACGATGAAAAGATCTGGTCCTGTGACAGCTACGGATGGAAACAGGTTTCCGCAAGCTGCAAGGATCACTCGAAAGATGTATCCGTGTACTGCTATTTTTCAGGTAAGTTTAAATTTATGCATTCTTAATATTAGCGTCAAAAGACGTACTTTGTTCTAAGAAGTAAGATTGATTTGATTTTGATTTTTTGTAGATTACGAGAAATATCAGATAGATGGATAAGAATACATCCTTTGATGATGATAAAAATGAACTATTGCAGCTCTATCAAAGTTGGAACTGTTTCAGCCTTGACAGTGTTCAGCCTTGATTATGTTCAGCTTAGTAGTGTTCAGCATTGATAGTATTCAGCCTTAATAGGGTTCAACCTTGATAGTCTTCAGCATTTATACTGTTCAGGCTTGATAATGTTAAGCCTTAATAGAAATCAACGTTGATATAGTTCAGCCATAATAGTATTCAGCCTTTATAGTGTTCAGCCTTTATAGTTTTCAGCCGTGATAGTTTTCAACATAATTACTGTTCAAGCTTGATTGTGGTAAGCCTTAATAGTGTTCAGCCTTGAGAGAGTTCAGCCTTAATAACTTTCAGCCCTGATAGTTTTCAGCCTTAATAGTATTCAGACTTGATTGTGTTCAGCCTTAATAGTATCCAGACTTGATAGAGTTCAGCCTTTATAGTGTTCAGCCTTATTAGTATACAGCATTGATTGTTTCTTAAGTGTATTCAGCCTTCATAGTGTTCAGCCTCGATATTCAGCCTTGATAAGGTTCAGCCTTAATAGTATGCAGCATTGATAGTGTTAAACGTTGACAGTATTCAGCCTTAATAGGATCCATCCTTAATAGTATTCAGCCTTAATAGTGTTCAGCATTGATAGTATTGAGACTTAATAATATTCAGCTTTAATAGTGTTCAGCCTTAATACTGTTCAGCATTAATACTGTTCAGCATTAATACTGTTCAGCATTAATACTGTTCAGCCTTGATAGTGTTCAAAATTTCTTACGTGATTTTATTATCCAATCTGTAGTCTCTTTTCCACAAATGAAACTTTGCAAACTTATTGCTACACTTCCGCTATTCCCATGGCAAATGTTCTCCCGTTCTTCTGTTTACCGTTAGGACAGGCCATGACACTTTCACGAAGTCGAATCACCTTCTCCACCGTTTTTCACACAAAATTTTTTTACTAAAATTGCCAATTTGTGGATTACTTCCGAGTGAGTGCATCCCTGGACATTTCTTTATTGTTTTTTTTAATTCTTCAAGTCAAGAGTAAGTTGTTATGTATCCTCCTTCTCGTGATTATCTTCACTTCCCATCACCTTCTCCACCATTCACATAACACACCATATTGATCATTACCATTTTGGCTGTAACCTTCTAGTTTGAAGGGCCCTCGAGCCTTGTATTTGGTGAAATTTAATATACAAAAGTTACCTAAGTTGATATAGAAAATGTTTTGTAAGTTAAGACAGCAATCTATTAGAATTGTGGTTAATTCGATCCACCCTGCATATTCAAGAGATTTAGGCGCCTCGTTGTAGGGTAATGGTTAACGAGGCTCGTGTAGTTGATCGTTGCTGATGTTTATTAAGTTCAATAAAAAAAACAATCAACCGTTTCTTATTATTAGTCGACACTACGGACTGGAGAAGTGGATAGCGAGCTCGGATTCCAGTCGGAGATCCATTGAATTCAGTCAGATCCATTGGGAAAGGCATGAATCCTCTTCTACCCCCTCCACCTATGAGTAAATAGCAGGACGGGTTCTACAACTGGTCTACCACAGAAAGAAATGGCAAATTACTGCGGGAAAAAAATCTGCCTTGTCAGTCAAGTATCGAAAGATATATGATCGCCTGAGAGTGTATCACGCATGCATGTAACTGACTGATATTCACTGCTAATACCCTTGGGAAATGTATGAATCCGCTCTTCCCCGCCCCGCCCCCAGAAGGACAGACCGCGTTCTATAGCCTTGGATGGCAACTTAAAAAATCTGGCTCGTCAGTCATCTATCGAAAACTAAGCCTGTATAACGCATGGCACATAACTGACTGACTGTGAGTAACTATGGGAAGCTTTTTATTTACTGAAATGTTTTCAGACGTGCAATGATAAAGCAGGTTCCAGATTAACACTTACTTACACACAAAAGTGTTTCTATAAAAGCGTATGCCGGTATCTTAGAAATAAAGTATTGAATCAGAAAGTTTAAAGAAGCACCTCCAAAAATCAAGATGTTCAGATACTTACAGCTGATCTTTCTGCTAAACTAGCTCGAACAGCTCAATGGACAGTAACTTTCAATCCCTCTAAAAGCAAGCAAGTACAATTTCTTAATCACTGATTGGACCATGAGTATTCTCCCGTCACAATGAACGGCTGTAATCTCAGCAAGGCTACATGCTTTGAACGTCTGTTGGGTTTCATGTTCACACCAGATGTCAAATGGGACTTATATATACGATCAGTTGCTAGATGCTGGAAAAATGGTCGGTTCATCCTATAGATCCAGAAAATACCTAACTCCAGCAATGTTTTATTTTTACAAGAGTCAAATTAGACCAAAAATATATTGCTTCTACGTCTCGTATGGTATATGGGTAACTCGTTCACCCTCATTTGGCACGCCATAATTTTCTATCTGTTTTTTTTTCCCTTCCAATCTAAGCTGAGAAATATATTTCAATAGAATATCGAATACGTCATCTCTCTGAGTTTTGGGCGGCGTCCATCTCCTCTCCAATCATTATACAGCAGATTGTACCGCGTTACACGAGGCCAGCTGCAAGCATTACTCACTGATCTGACCTGTTATCGTATGACTGAAGTGATTTGCAGATCAAATTACTGTCTAATCTCAATGACATTCCCTATATTTATTTGAATACCTATAAATAATGTATTATTTAACTTGGAAGACACAAGAAATTTTATAATTTTTAAATCTGAAGGCATGGAACTCCAAAAATAAATAATTGATAATAAATAAACAATGCAGGAGATTTTTTTTCAAATGGTTCACTGTAATTATCATAATTCCTAGAATTATAAGCAAGTTATTTTCATATGGTATATTTTTAGCACGGTTGCTGGTTGCCATAATTGGATACGTGTGTACTTTATTCAAATTTCAACTAATTACCTCGTCCACAGTAGGGGCAGAAATCATTGTTGGGTATTAATGCTTGTAGCCAAATCTAACAAACAATTCAGACATAGCGTTCATCCAGTTATAATGTAGGTTTTAGATTTCACTGAATTTTAAATTCTGACATATTCGGATTCTATACCTTTCCCACCTTGTAAAACTGATCCAGTCGGATTATATATAAATTGCATAATAGGTAAAGACGTTGTGTAGCTGTGGCAGGAAAGCTCTAGTAGCCATGAGACATTGGCTGAATTTTACACCATTTGACCGACGTTGGGACCTGTAAGATGCAGAACTCTGTTGGTCTTAGTCTAGTTTTTTTCAGTCATTTCAATCAGGTGGGTAAAGTGTTCATCTCATGCACTAGTTCTACCCGTGTTAGAAATAGTAGTACTGGCCATTTGCCTTAAGAACGAATTGAATGTGATATGGTCCTTTCTCGCGGAAGGCCTATTGCCATTGTAAACAAGGCTACTTCTCACTACATCTCGTTGAAACACCGGTTCCTGTACGATCACTGAAGTTATGCAACGTCGACCCCGGTCAGTACCTAGATGGGTGACCAGTTAGGAATACCAGCTGCAGCAAGCTTGGATGTGGGGGTGAAGTAATGGATAATGGTTTGGGATTTTAATCGGAGAGCCGAGGTTAATTTCCTGTTGGGTTCGTTCTATTCACTTACGCGCAAATACCATTGGGAAAGGTATGAATCCACCGCTTTCCACTCCCCCGAGCTATGGCTTAAATAGTAAAACTTATCTCACTAAACAATCATTAGCTCCCACCACCCAAAAGTTCTTACATCTAAAAATATTTTCTGACTTTAAATAATTTGCAACGTATTGATAAGCCGTAGAAACACATCAACAAAAATTATATCAATAATCGGTTCTTTCATGTTTTTGGATTTTTTTAGCGGCGTATCAATCTCTATGGATTATTTAATGCGTGCCTTCAACAATTCAATTGTATGCCTTCAACAACAGATGTATTGTTAGTAATTCTACGATAAATGAGTATTGTTAGTAATTCTACGATAAATAAGTACTGCTGGTAATTCTACAATAAATGAGTATTGCTGGTAATTCTACGATAAATGAGTATTGCTGGTAATTCTACAATAAATGAGTATTGCTAGTAATTTCTTTTAATATAAAATTGTATTGCTTGTATTTTTAGTATGAAAATGTATTTTTATACTTTTGTTTTAGTTTGGGAATTCACTATTTGCTCATACTCGAGAGTCTAAAAAGTGCTACCACCGAGAGTCGGGGGGGGGGACCTGGGAACAACAGCAATTACCGTAATTCCCCATGTATAATACGCCTTCATCCATAATACACACACCCGACATTGTGCTGAAAGTATAGGAAAATACTTCTACTAATGCATAATACGCACCCTTGTTCGGTAATCAAACCCTTAAATTGTCCCTCTCCAATCTCATTACGTCCAGCGTTTCCGATTCTTATTTTAAAAAATGGTTTTAAACATAGAATAAGATTATTCTAATTTAGTTTTATGATAATTCATATTTGATGTTACGGCAATTTTTTAATGTCCATAATACGCACCCCTGATTTTGCTTATTATTTTTTAGAAAAAAATACGTATTATACATGGAGAATTACGGTAAAAGGTGATTCTATGTTCCTCAAAACCTTCAATCGCCCGTTCAGAGGCTTTGCTGCCGGATGTAGTTTATCGTTATACCTAGGACTATCTATAGATGGAAACTGCAAATATTACTATTATCATTACCATAAAATAGAATCATGTAATATATATTTTAAAATAGAAAAATTTTAATTTTCATGATTTTGAGGATAGGATTTCCATACTCAATATCTCATTCATTGAACCGTCAGGTTCTATGTTTCCAATCCGGTTTTCAGTAAGGAAGCTCACCCACTTGAATCACAGCAAATATTAGCTAAGATAAAGTCGATCAATGCCAATTAATTCTGTAGCATCTAAGCGTTCGAATCATATTCTTGAAAGTTCACAAACCATTTGCACACATTTAAACAAAGCTCTGGGATCGATCAATAACAGTCCAATATGTAATTGTGGCGATTTAAATAATCACAGGCGAACATTACGAAAGTAATTACAATGATTATACCGTCACCGACTGTGAACGCGCTGAACAATTAATTCGAATTTCAGTTAATGAGACAATCATTGCTGATATCGATCTGTAGCGTAAAGAAACTTTACACTCAACTACTCAACTCTTTGTTCACGCTTTCAGTTGGTTCGTTTTCCGTTCATCTTTGGTTGTGAACGAAATCAAAAATTACTTCACAAGAGACGCACTTGCATAAGGAGATAAGAATCGAATAAGATAACTCGACTGGAAATAACATTTGAGGCTTCACCTGCTGAAGCATCTGATCTGTCTTCCTTGTCACGAGAGCCCCTTTCTGGCGAGGAAATTATCATTTGTAATGTTAGCACTTACCTGGAGGCAAGCGAAATGTCATTGGTAAAGAAAGAAAAGCCCCAAATATTTTAATAGACGACATTTGAATTCGCTTTCAAATATGACAAAGTTATTTCCGAGCCTGAAATAGAGGCATTCTGAATGAGGAAACACACACACACACATATATATATATATATATATATATATATATATATATATATATTGGCAGCATATTTTCATTTAGACATGTCTCATTAAATCGTTTTTGTCTTAGAAAAAAAAAACTCCGATGATAACATTCCGCTAATGTCGAAATTACTCAGAATAGAATGAATATGCATCAACATAGTAATTTTTCTCTTCCATTAATAAGGATACTAAGAAACTTGTTCGTGATTACGAGAGGATCCTATTAAAAAAAGTAGACAAAACTTGTCTAAATTATTTCATGAAACATGTCTTTATATATATATATATATATATATATATATATATATATATATATTATTACAATGAATCATTCATACAAAAAGTAAATTAGTGAAGTTAATGATATAAAATGGCGAAATTCCTTCGCTAACTAAATTTTAAAGATGCATTAACCTACTAATCACTCGTTGAATGTTATGATACTTGTTTTTGCTTTAAACTATATTAGGTCTTCCTTAAATATGCAAGTACTTTGGGCTGTGCATTCATAACATTCATCGAGTGATTAGGACGTTAATGCATCACTAAAATTTAGTTAACGAAGGGATTTCGCTATTTTATATCATTAACTTTACTAATTTACTTTTTGTATGAATGATTCATTGTAATATAAATTAAATTGCACCACATATTTGATATATATATATCTTTTTTAAAATATGAGTCCTCCAACATATTTTTCTCACAAGATTCCTCTAATAATCAGGCCGGTAGGTGTAAATAAATAAATGTAGTATTTAATCAATAAATAAAAATAGACTATATATTCAAATATTAGTATCTCTCTCAAAAAACATCTAAACAAATAAATTAAAAATCTGTCGGATATAAATCCATTTTCTAATATATATATATATATATATATATATATATATATATATATATATATATATATCGAATGTAATCTTGATCTGCATGACTGGGATTTTACTCATGAAATAAATTATTACCATATAATGGATTTTTATTCCTTATTCCTTATTATATATATATATATATATATATATATATATATATATATATATATATATATAATATAACTGAAATTTAACTTGCCATTTTAAAATACTTATAATTTATTTAACTATAATTTATACGAGAAATGGATACGAGAGGGAAAAGTTTACCGTCAGGTTTTATTTAAAATTCGATATGGACGCCAAATTTCGCTACCAGCTCATGGAACCGGCCAGGAATCGCTTCAACTAATTTTACCAGGAACTCTTGTGGTATAGAAGCCATAACTTCTCGTATTCCCCTACAAGTCCTTCCAAAGTCTTGGTTTGGTATCGTAGAGTTGCTTGTTTACCCCCCCACCAAAAAAAAATTCATGAGGTGTTAAGTCAAGACTCATGGCTGACTACTCATGCATAAACTCATGCATTTTTCAATCACCCTGTATATATATATATATATATATATATATATATATATATATATATATATATAATTTTTCATATAAACAAAACAATTTACTCACTAGAAAGATACAATCTTTTCTCAGTGCATTTACTTGAACCCTGTATGAATTTTTTTTGTCTGTATGGAAAAATTATAATAAATAATTATTACTCTACTCTCGGAACTGAGCACTTTTTTTGAATCAATGCTGTGAACGTTAGATTTATATATTATTTTCGATCTCATTATATATATATATATATATATATATATATATATATATATATCCGCTGTGATGAGAACGAAAGTAATATATAAATTCCAATGTTCACAGCAAAAATCCAAAATAGAGATCGATACCGATAGTAGAGCGATAAATATTTATTTATTATAATTTTATCATATAGACAATACCTTTTCACTCACTACAAAGATGCAACTTCGTTTCAGTGCATTCCACCTGCACTTTGACGGGTGAGAATCGAAAAAAGGTAATGAACAATCCTGCTTGTTTTGTCAATATGATAAGATTATTATATATATATATATATATATATATATATATATATATATATATATATATATATAACAGTGCTAAAACCAACGTCATAAAATCTAAAATTTTAAGCATATTTTAGGAAGAGCGTCTTCAAAGGAACGATAATATATTAGCATTCCTACCGTGGATATATGTATGTATGCATATTCAAATTGAATCGTTACTTCCTGATAGGCATCGTATATATATATATATATATATATATATATATATATATATATATATATGAAGAAATATACTCTTAAGTTGTGCTATATATATATAAATTGCTCAATATCAGAGATAGAGCTAGTGTAAATATAAAAGTGAACATTGAAGTCAACACTTAGAGGCGACAGTCTGTTTCATGCTAGACGCAATCGTCAGGCCATATATATATATATATATATATATATATATATATATATATATATATGGTAGGTGTAAAGATTTAACTACTATAAACAAATTTAATATAATATGTGATTAAAAAGTATTAGTTTTCAGAGTATAAATTTGGCTTCAAAATTGATTCTCAGAAAGGGGTGATATCGGTTGAGTTCATCGATGAGATAAAACAGAACCGAATTTCAAACAGAGGTCAGTTATTGATTCCCGATTTTGTAGAATAACGAACATAACAGAAAATGTGAACAGAAAATTGGTAGTTTTAATTAAGGAAGCAGCATAGATAACAGTGAAAACAAACTGAAATAATAACAAAGGTATGTAAATCAAAGCCACCAAAAGTTGATAAAAATTTTGCGATATATGGCTGCAAATGCTAAATGAGATTAAACTGAAAAATACAGATTTAAAATAAAATAAATGATATATGAAAGAAAGAAATTGAAACTTGGAAAGAGTAGAAGCTATCCAGAAAGTGAAGGGCTTGAAACATGCTCAATACACAACCCCTAAAAAGTGAAACTTGTATTGAAAATCAGAAACGGAGAAGTAACATACGTAGAGATAACATGGTAAAATATCTTCAGATTATGAAAACTTGTAT